GCTGCCACAGCGACTTGTGCAAGGAGGTCTGCAGATGAGCCCGGAGGACGCAGTGGGCAAGAGAGGTGGAGTTAGCATAGCGATAGGTTAGAGGCAGCCATAGCTGCCATAGCTATAGTTAGTAGTGAGTGTGTGTGTGTGCTCGAGTGTTAGAGTGATGCGTGTGGGATATCCAGGGTGATCCAGTGTATGTGAACAGTGAGATGTTTGTGCGCTGAGGTCGCCATAGCCAATTGGGAGTGAACTCGTATCTGAAAACCATATCTCTGAGTTTTGAGTGGGBRSATGTCGCCAGTGTGCTGCGTTACTGTTTACATGTGTGAAAAGTGTGTTTGAAAACGAGTCTGATTGCACAAGGGAACCGGTAGGCTGAGAGGCCGGGTAGCTGGAAAGTCACCGTCACCGGGGGAGTTCAGCAGCCGGTATATGCGGAGTCTTGGTTGGCGCTCCACCTGGGAGCCCCGAGGGTGGAGTGTGGGGTGGTGGCAGTAGTGGGAGAGGCATGCTAGCCTTTCGTTGTCTTTTAACATCAGAGCCAGGCTCCGATGCTCTGCCATAGCCACCGGCTCAGCCTAGATGTAGGAGGTGGCGTAGGTTGGCTATGGTGGACTTGTTGAGTGGCTGCCAGCAAGGGCAGGAATCAGTCATTGATGCTGGTTCATTCATTGTGGTTGCTATTATTATTACTAACGAACAAGATGTTGGGAGAGATGTTGAAGGTGGGAGATGGTTGCGAGAGGAGGGAGGAGTGACATTGGTTCTTGCTTCAGTTCATCTTCTTCTTCTTCTTCTTCTTCTTCTTCTTCTTCCATTCTTCTCCCTCCTTTGTCTATTCTTCTCTCCAATCTCTTTCATTTCAGTTGCAGTTGAGCAGCATTGCCTTCTTTCGAGTTCTTGCACTGTGATACATCCAGGATCATAACAGGTCTGCATTTCAACAGTTCATGGGTGTACTGAGCTAGGCCCGTTTGTACTGCCTTGGCGTTCTATCTATTGTGAATAATAATTTATTAATCCATTAAAAGAAAAGTAGAAACGACAAGACCAGTGTCTCTGCCGTGTTTGCTCAGGCTCTGACAGCTTTCACACGCCTGGTGTGCCTTCTTCTTCTCTCCCCCCCCCCCCCCCCCCCCCCCCCCTCTCTTCCAACCCCAACATACACACACACACACACACAGAAAGAACACAGTCATGCTTTTTTTGAGTGTATAGCGAATATGACAACACACACAAAAAAGGTGCAAAATGCAATTGACTTGTACTTTTTCGGATTGGTAAACTTTTGTGCGTTGTGGCATTCATTGCTGACATAAGCTTTGTTTGCTGTTGCCATTGCTGCTGCTGTCCGCCGTCTGCCTTCTGCCTTCTGCCTTCTGCCTTCTGCCTTCTGCCTTTCGGGTGCATCTGTGTTCTCTCTGTCAGCCTGTTGGATTTGCAGTTTTTGTGGATCAGGAATCGGCTTTGGTGGCCAGGGATGGCCTGAATGTAAGTTTAATGTCACTTCCGGATTGCTGTGGCTGTGTTCATCATCTGACTTGAACTGAAATAAAATTTTGCATGTTTATGTCGCTTTCTGATTGCTGCGGTTGTGTTCACCATTTGACTTGGATGGGAAGAACATTTTGCATGCGCCACTTCTATAATTGAACGAAGTAAAAAGAAAAAAGCCAAAGGTGACCAGCGAAAAATGTCTGGCCAAAAACGAAAAGTGTGGCAGTGGCTTCTTAACGGCAGCAATTTAGGGGGCCATTACATGCCTACCGGGAAGATTATGTGGAGCTGCACACCTCGCACGGTTACACGCTACTTTGACCTACCAAGTCTCTCACTGTGGAGTGCATCAAGCAACTAACGCCGGCGTCCGTTCCTGATTTCGTTGTTGCTGTTTCTGTATTTTCTTATGGCTTAGTATTGCGGCCTTCACTCACACTAGCACTTCTTGACATGTATCTGACCATAATTATGGCCTCACATAGATGCATCTGACAGCAATGACGTCCTAGAACAAGTGAACAAGTGCTAATGCTAATGTGAGTATATGCCCTGATTGGTGTTGTGAGCACAGTGGTGCTGCCGATTGACACCCTTCTGGCTTTTTGTGTGTGGTGGTTGGTCTGCAGGGTACTGTTTTTGATCCCAGCAATCCATCTCTGAAGCTCAGAGTTGAATTGGCAAAAGCCAACTCGAAACCAAAACGAGCGCGACCAGGTAATGTATGAACGGAATGTGCCTGAAGTGGATGGGTTGCTTGCTGTCGATGCATCTGTCACAGGTCTTGTTTCATTCCCGATGGATCTCTCACGGGTGCTGTCCTGTTGATGCTGCGAAATGGCGGAGAACCTCCTATGACATCATCAATCAAAGCGCTGTGACCATTGCAGTGCATGGCCATTTTGTGGGTGCCTTTCACTGCAAGTGCGAGTATCGCCGAATACCTAGTCTTTCCAGTCACAAATGTGTTTATATGGCAAATCTGAGAGCATGGATGGTTCTTTCTTGTTACGTCTGCGTTTATATGGTGGCACATCTGTGAACACTTGTAATTCTTAGTAGGATTGGGTGACCTCATGCAGGCAGGATAATTTCTGGGTGGGATAAGATTTGACCTTATTCAGCAGTTATAGATCCGTACATCATCTGGGCCTAAGGCCCTCCTCGGTGCTAGCACGGATTCGAACCGGCGAGCTCGGCCTCAAGAGCCAATTCTCTTAACCATTACAGCCAAGGACACAGCGTTAGAAAGTGGAATCATCACGGTCATGATATCCACCCCACCCGTGCAAGGTTGTAGTGTCCAACCCGACACACACCATCCACAACACCACACAGATTCGGCAATTCTCACACACTTCGCTCCAATCGGCACGTGACCCCCACAGGTACATAGCCCGCTCACACACACGGGTCTTAACTACCCCAGATAGGAAATGCAGAAGATGAGAGTATCATTGAACTCCTGTCTTTTTTCTACCTTCTTCCCCCGAATACAACGTACGGCCATTGTGTCTGTATTTGAGGCATCTTTCAGTCTAGATACCGCTATAACGACCGTACGTTGTATTCGGGGGATGAAGGTAGTTACAACTCTGTGTACAAATACATGTCAGAAGACTCAGAATTCTAAGTAGGATTGGCTGACCTTATTCAGACAGGAAAATTTGTGGGTGGGATAAGATTTGACCTTATCAAGCGAGATTGGAAATGCAGAAAGGGAAAAAAAAGACAGAAAAAGCCTAACTGAGCTGGACGATGCTCCTCTTGACCCATCCTGTGAGTTAGTCCTTCGCTTCACTACACAGCATACCACATGTATCTCGAGTCTCAACCTGTTAAACGCGTAATACATTCAGAATGTTTAACTGGTCCTAGCGTATCTGGTCTAATTGGCAGTCCAGGTATGTGTCGAATGTCGAGTAGTGGAGTGGGGCCCCTTAGACAGGTAAAGTTTGCACTGGCTATGGTGAGAGTTGTTGGATCTGAATATACAGGATAACAAGGTGCTCTAAGAGATAGCACACTTTTCTTTTTCCTTTTTCTTTTTTGCGAAGGGGCCATGCTAATCTTCTCTTTATCGTTCCAATTTTGACAGATGTCCCTAAGGACAAGAGAAAGCACACTTCTTCCCCTGGCAGTTTGTTAATTTTAGCCTAGTTTGCTTGATAGGCTTCCCAGGGGTTAGACCCCTCTCACCAGGATTCTTCATTTCGGACCATTGATGCTTGCAACCTATGATTGGAGACGAAGTGTGTGGGCGAGGGGCACACCTTGTTCTTTCAACTTTGGTGCCATGACTATCAACAACGATCTATGTGGGCTGTTTTTCTGGGCGCCCGGCACCCAACTTGTGCCCGGATACACGCCCGTGTGCTCAGCTGGGCATGATCCCCGGGCAGGGCTCCAGGGAGCCCCAGCGCAGGAAAAAATAATTCAGAAGCATCCCGTAAAAAAAACTATGTTGTGTAGAATTGCAATGCAAACAACTTTTGGCTCATGGGTCTAGTCCTTGGCCTCTACAACAACCTGGGCTTAAACCGGCCCGGTCGACTGGCCGGCAGGACCGGTCCGGTTCCGGTTGGGGGTGGGCCCCCCGGTCCTACCGGTTTGCAGCACTGCTTCAAAACCAATTTATACCCCCCTTCTACCCCCACCTCCTTGACAGCCAACACTCTAAAAAGAGGAGAGCCTGGATTTCGGGTCCTCTCGCAGAGCACGGAAAACTCTTTTTTTTTTGTTTTTCCCCTTTTGGCACGGCAGGGGCATGACAATCTTCCTACCCATCTATTTGTTGATGTGTTGTATTGTCCCTTTTTCCGTGTTTTTGTGTTTTTCTTTCGTTTGCTGTGGGTCGCTGATATCGATGCTGCTGTGTGAGATGGTTTCCTCGGCGTCCGGATGTGAATATAGTAGAGCTTGACTTGCGCCCTTGCAGTGTAATATCCACGGGTAACGACTCTCTAAGTTGTGCTTTGTTGTTCTCTGTTGTGTGGTGTGCAGAAGAAGGGTCGTCGCCTGACAAAGTCGATAGGAAATTCAGAGGGCCACCTGCGCCCATATCCATGCCTGCACATCTTCGTGAAACGGTCCCAATGTACATACCAGGTAAGCGTCAGCACTCCATGGACCATGGCACACTTTCCCCCCCCCCCGACCGGGTACGTCTGGTGCACTACTTGTTTTGCCTCGGTCTGAATCTTAGCTTTGGTTCTGTTGACATCTTGTCTGTAATGCGGCTGCTTCACACTGCACGGTGCTGTGGATGCAGTTGCTTCACACTGCACAGTGCTGTGGTTTTGGTTTGAGGACCCTCAAGGTTGCCTCAAACAGGAATAAATACGTCTGATCTGGGTGCACAACTCCTGTACATATGTTTACAAACAACATCTGCCCTTAGCGTTTGAATGACCTTCTGTCTGGGTGTATAACTCCTGTCCATATGTTACCAAGTATGCTCTGGCACAACTGAGGGCTACTTGACACAACTGAGGGCTAAGTGTTGAACCTTTTTCACCGCAGCTTGTAGCTTGCAATTTTCAATTTGCTGCTGCATGTATGCCCGTGAGGCGTGGAAGTGCGACCATCCTAACACGTCTCCCTACCCTCTTTTGAATGAGCTTTTGATCTGTGGAGCGGTCACAATCACTAGTCATCTTCCAAAGCTGCGATCTCCTCCACTAGAACGTGGGCAGCCTGCTCAGCTGAGGGAGGGATTGTGTTGGCAGGCACCCCTGGAGGTGCCTTCGAATCCTCCTCCCCTTTGTTTCGGGTTATCTGAAGAGACTTTAGAATAGATGTAGGCAACATTTTATGCACAGATTTCGTTCGGACAGAGACGAACAGGAGCGAGAAGCTTCTCCAATTTCTTGAGGGACTCAGCGATTGGGGGTGTGTGCAATAAGCCCAGATCTCCGACCAGCATGTCATGTTGCACCACGAGGCACACTTCAGCGCACTTCAGCACATGGGAGTCGAAAGCCAAAGCACGTGATATGAGAGGAAGTCAAATTTGCTCGGAAGTCAAGTCTTATACAACCAGTTTGTCTGCACCAAGTTATGCCAGTATGGCCGATAGCAAACATCATCCAAGGATGAGCTCTCACTCTTGACGCTCAGGCCTCTCTCTCTCT